TGTGGAACCGGGGATTGAACTCAGGCCCTTGTGCTTGCCAGGCAAGCACTTGTTCTACTGAGCTATCTCCCTGGCCCCCAAAATACATTTTTCAAAGCATTTTCTGTATGGTATGTTTCCTAATTAGTTTTCTTTTATTCCAATAACTTTAACTTTTTGCATACTATGCAGCACAACCAAAAATTCAATCCAGCAGAGTAGTGGAGGAAATCCAAGCCTCTACTCTATTATTTTTGATGGAATGACATGGGAAGTAATATGAGCAAAATTATCATACATATAAATTAGGGAGAAAGGCCTCATTGAAACTTATAAGCCAAAAGACTCCCATGTTACATCTTAGCAAAAGAAATGCATTGTTTGAGATTGGCAAATAATCTGAGAGAGCTGACTCCTTGACAGGTGTCATTGAGGCAGATGTTAGCAAGGCAAGGAGAATGGGAGGCTCCTGAGCAGTGAGGAACATATAGTTTCAGCAATGCGCACCCTGTGCACAATGCTACAGACACAAGGGAGTCCTTGCTTTGTGAAGGATTCTAATATAAATGTTAATTATATATGCAATTCAAATATTGAGATGAAGCTTTTCAGTGTTATTGTACTATATATGTATATATGTGCACATATATGTATATATGTGCTATATATGTAAGATATATATGCCACATATTTTGAGTCTAAGATACATCAATCAATCTACTTTGTGTGTGTGTGTGTGTGTGTGTGTGTGTGTGTGTGTCTCTGCCTCAGCCCACCCCGGGGGCAGGGCTGGTGCAGCTTGTGGTGCCAGAGATGGAATCACGGTCCCTGTGCACTTTGCCTAAGCTTGCCTCAACAGTCACTGTAGACCACTGAGCTATCTCACCAGCCCTCAATCAATATACTTTTGTATGAACCTTGTTATGGTTTGATCTAGGTGTCCCCCTAAAGCCTGATGCAGTCTTAGGGTGGCCTCTGGAGTTTGTGATTGATTACTGTGGGTGTGCATGCTGCACCTGACCTGGGGCAGGTAATTTGCATTTCAATGTAAGGAGGAAAGAGAAGTTAGCTACTTGAGCTGCTGCTACTTCTCTTTCTGCTGACAAGAAGGGTTGCCCTCTGCCGTGTGCCACTCTGCCTTGGAGCCAGCTGAGTATGGACTGAAAGCTCCAGTAACTGTGAGCTGAATAAACCTTTCCTTCCTTCATTTTGAGTGTCGGGTATTTGTCCCAACAATGAGAGAAGAGTAAGTAAGACAAACCTATAAAGAAGAGAACCTGAGTGCCTGAGTTTTAGAAATTATGCATTTTCTAGAATGCCTTTAAAGAAAAGAAATTTTGCAATTTGTCTGTGTTGCAGGCAGCCAAGTTAGACA